TGGCCCACTCCAGGGTTAGAAATGACACCGGTGAAAGCTGAAATTGGTTCCACCACCCCAGGGTGTACAAGTATTTGCCTGATTCCAAGTAAGTTCTATTTTTTCCTTTTTTGAATGTGACTTCCATATGATTCTTTTACTTTCTACCCAGTACAGGGTCTCACTATGACAGGCCTGGCTTTGAGTGCTAAGAAAAATCCCTGCACTAGCTTTCATGATCTGCTCTCCAGTGTCAGATTTGTCCCCTATTCTTCCACCCAAGATTGAGAGAAAGGTATTGGAATTACTCTCTTTGCCACCTATCATAGTTCCAGTGGCTCAGTCCACAGGTATTGGTATTGTAGTAGGGTTCATGGGGCTCTCTGCCTGGCAGTGAGTTACACTGTGATGGACTTGGGTATTAAATAAGTTTAAAGTCTATGACTTGGACTTAATTTCTTCAAGCAGGAGCCATCTTTCTGGACACTTTGCTGTTTGGATTTGAGGGAGATGTGATATAGGCAACTCTTCTTTCTGCCTGCAGCAGTGTATCTTTCCATTTTGTTATACTAAACGTAGGCTGTATGGTTTCTCACCTGGTTTTCTTAGCTCTTGTTAGGATACTTTGGTACATGGATAGCTGTTAATCTTGTGTCTTGAAAGTGATGATTACCAGAGGAAATTACTTAGCCACTATCTTGCTGTGCCTCTGAGATGAGTTAAATTTAACAAAGCTTATTGGAGCAAAAAAGGTTCTAGAACCAGGTAACATTCCCAACTGAAGTTAGTTCAGAATGCCACACCCAATGCATATGTAGGCTGTATTTATATCTGGAGGTAAGGCAGGCACAGTGGCATACCAAAACAACCCGGATGGTTGCAGTTCGAATTTGCCTCTTATGGACATTGATGTGAACAGCTGGTAGTCTGTGATCAGCTGAAGCTCCACTTCTATGAGTGACTGTGAGATTCAACTATCTATTACAAGAATATATTCTTAAATTATTTCACACTTTGTTTGATAGATTATGCTGTAGTTTGCTTCATAGGGAGATCACTTTGGTCCAAACTTTACCCCTCAAGTCCATAAACAGGCTAAAATGATCAGATTAACACTTTCTTATGTTCATCCAGAGGAAGTCCTGGAGCAAGGTGCATTGTTCATATGTCATAGAAGTAGACAGTACAATCTAGAAGCTTGAGGATAAATGATAATGCCAGGGAAAATGACAAGTCTTTGGGTCTGCTTGATAATGGCAGTGGAAACAGCAGTATCTGGCCAACCCAGGCCCTGGATGTAGTACTCTGTGAGTGAACTGGAATGACTCTCACTGGTTCAAGGTGAAAGACCACAGTCTCCCATGGGAAACCAAAAGCCTACCTAGTACATAGGTGTGTAGGCAAATTGTATACTACTACGTAGTATCAAAAATACAGTGGTGAAATTTAACACGAAAACCAATGCCCAGTGAATGTATCCCACTTGGGGCCCCTGGGATAAGCCATTAAAAAGCATTCATGAGATTTTTGATAACCTAGGATTTCAGGATTTCTCAAAAGTTGTCATTGTTGCTAAAATTAACTGAAGAAGCCTACCAAAATTTCTACATTGTATTTAATTGCTTCAGTTAAACTTACCTTTAAAAAAAACCTACAAAATAATTTGACTGAATAGTCTTAGAATATTATGAAAATAATAATATCAAATTTTTCCAGTATAATAAACCAGAATATACTGTATTAAATTACGGTACTAGAAACAACTATCTTTTACTATCTTCCTGAATTCTTATATAATCCAAAGATGATGACATACTAAAATTACATGTTTATTAATATGAAGGTAAACTTAAAGAGAATAGTAAGTAAATGTTAATGGATAATGGAAAACCTTGTAGGAGAATGCAAAAAGGAATCTTAAAATATATTTAGCTCTGTTCCATATTTTTATTTTTGGTACTGGCAGAAAATCTAATCTAAACTTCGGTCGTCAGCTTTTCTATTGTGCACCACTTCTATTTTTTATTCTTTTTGAAATTATGAAATGCTACACTATGTGAAACTGAAAACTTAATTGAATAAAATAAGCATTTTTGAGCTCTCAAATACCTATTTACTTATAAAATTTGAGATAAAAGGCAATTTTGTGTTCTTTTGTCTTATAAAAATATTTGTAGAATATTGACATAGCAAACAGTGAAACAAATAATATTTAGATGAATGATAGACATCAATTGCTTTCTTTTCACTAAAACTTCAGGTATTATAAACCAAAAATTGAGAAAACTGCAGTAAAATCTAATCTAAAATAAATAATAACAAATGAAGTTTTACTTATAAAAACTAGGATGCATATTATCAAATATTAAAAGTCCTTGAAATTAGGTGTCTGGTTAAGTAGGGTCTGGGTACATTAAAGTATTTTCTTTTAGTAAGGCCATGTAGAGGTTTTTAATAATTCCTTAATATGATATTAAGTGGAATAAATACTGCTAACTGTATAAATGTAAATATGAAATAATTTGCTTTATGAAAACATAAAACATATTAAAATATTTGAAAAAAATTGACTTTTCACCTGTATCTATCATAATTATAGTCTAAGGCACTATATTTCAAAATTCTCTTAGAAATATACTAGATGCCTTAACACTAATAAAAACTGCCTAAATTCTGCTTAAAATAAACATTGAACTCATCATTGAAATTATTTTTATGTTTTTATTATTTTATTTCTTGTTTTAGATTCTCTGTACTGTTTGCCTTATATTTAAATGGTGCAAATAGAAAGAGCTACTCATCTAACAATTTTTAGGAGGTAGAACCATAGAGAAATGTTATTTTTTATATTTTAGGATGTATGTGTTATTAACTGTAATATTTTATTTGCAATTTTATAAAGTAGAAAATACTATTCCTATTTTATGAATGAAAAAACCTGATCCCTGTTAGTTGTTAGATAAATATTTCTTAATTTAAATTCTAAATAGCAAAAGTTTGACTGTACTACTTTGAGAAGTACTACTGAACTCAAGCACAAGTGGGAGGAATCTGAGTAAAGAAAATTGTGTGTGTGTGTGTGTGTGTGTGTGTTTGTTGAAGGGAAGCATTTGAATAGAAGGAATGTCGTGTGTAACATTCATTCGTTGGTTGCATAGGATACACCTAACTAAAATGATGTTTATGAAGAGGTTTCTGGTTTTTCTAAGGAGTTAGCTTTTGTTATTTTTCTTAAGCACAGATTTGTGAAAATTAATGATTTATCTGTACTGAATATATTGTATTGGCTGTGAATTCAACTTAGCCAAAGTATAAAATAGTCACAGTAATAGTGATTCTATTCAAAGTTAGTCTATCTACACAGAAAGTGTGGAGATCAATTATACTGACTTTTCATATGAATGGATAATCTTCAAGTCTCCTTCAGTAACCAGAATGGTTGAGTAAATTCCAAGCTCCTCATTTGAAACTAGATTGGGCCAGAGACACAAACTTATTTTTGACAATCCATGGTAGGGGATTGAGGGGGGAGTGGGACAGAAAAGATGGAGAGAAAGAAAAGAAAGACATAAAACCAAGGCTTCTTAATTCTCACTGTAGATTAGAACCATATTTTGAGCTGTTTAAACCCAAATACCTAATCTTGCTGAACAGGTAATTCTGAGTAATGGAATCTCCAAATCTGTTCTATGAACCAACAGTAACACAGGTAATTCAAGACACTGTTGAGATTTGAATGACCTGGTTTCATGTTCAGATGTACAACTTCTTTGTTATGATAATTGAATTACTGATAGTATGTCAGTTTAATCTGGTAAAATCAAACTGGTTTAAACACCCACATCTCCAAAGTCCTTCTCTTTCTGTTATCTTCCCATTTTGGCAAACACACTCTTCTGGTTACTCAGTTACTTGGGCCCCACACCATAATCTTTTTCTTATGTCTTCTTCACATATTTCATACTCAATCAACAATATCTGTCAACTCTTCTACCAAATTTTTTTTACCAAAATCAATCATTTCTCTCCATTTCCCTGCTACTGTCAATACCACTACCATTCCAGTACAAGCTACTTATATACAGAGTCCACCAAAAAATATATATATCAGGAAAAGAAAAACTGATATAAATATTTTTACTAAATTTATTAAGACATCATGAGATTAATATAAGTTACCTATAGCCTCTACAGTTATAAGAGGTGCTCAAAGTGGTGGCCATTAGTGTCCAGACATTAGCTGGTAAAGTGTATACACATATTTTGGTCGACTCTATTTCATGAGATCATTTTGAAGACAGCTTCTTAGGCTATGATCTTTTTTTTTTACCCACTGAAATGAAAGCTTCCAAGGGCATGGGCTTTTCCTTTCTAAATTGGAAGAATGCCTCACTTAAAATGAGTCTCTACTTATATTTGATGGATAAGCTAGTAAGTGAATACAGTTCGGATCTCTCTTAAGCAATTTTCATTGATCAAAATGATTGTTTAGGTTCCCCTTTTTCATGCTTTCTTTAAAATACAGTATACATTGCCATCTCCTCATTTCACACTATTTCATAGATTTTGATACATTTTCTCCTATAAATTGAGCTTTACAATGGGAATTTCTCTCGGCTTCTTATTTTCATGGTATTATAATGTTGAGTATTTAAAACATATTCAGAAACAACTCACTTTCAAATTCTCCCTACTTGTCCAGAGTAGCTGTCTGTCATCTCTCTCTTCCTCTTTCCTCATCTACAAATAAATCATCGTCTTTAAAAAAACCTATTCAGTACACACTGAATAGAAGGATAAATGAATAAATGGTTAAATCCTCCAAGAAATATTTGAGATCTTCCTGTAGTCACTATGCAGAATAATAATTTGAATTTATTAAATTTTATGAGTAATTGGATCAAATATGTATGACCTTGCAGTACATTTAATGCTTAGCAGATAAAGGATTTTTTATTTGAGCCTTCTCTGTTAGTCAAATAATTCATGTCTACCAACAACTGAATTTTGTATATTTTCAGAGATCATCTACAGCTGGGTATTTAATGAATTCCCCTCCTTTGTGGCGGAAGACAGCCGGCGGTTCATTTCCCAGGAGACAGGCAACCTTTATATTTCTAAAGTGCAAACATCAGATGTTGGAAGCTATATTTGCCTGGTGAAAAACACAGTGACGAATGCTCGAGTCCTTAGTCCTCCAACACCACTCACTCTGCGCGATGATGGTAAGTAGCATGCCCCAGATTTAAATGGTCAGGCATCTCAAATGTGAAAAGCAAAGACATACTAGCATTTTTCCAGTTATATTTATCATATTTAGAAACTCACTATTTTTAGTTCAGATTACACATGCCTTAGAATAAAACTTTTGACATGGGAAAGTAATGATCCATGAATGAGAAATAGTCACCATAATGATATACTAATGTCAGAAAAGGAAAGAGAATCTGAATGGCAATAAATACTCCACAGTACTTTTCTTTCCTCTTTAGTGCCTCTATGAAGCATATGTGTATGAATTATAAGTGTTTTACAGGTTCAACATTCATTTTTATTTTAGCTACCTTAAAATTGAATGTTCAGCATTTAATACTTCATGTTACAATTATAATTGTTATTATTACTTTCCCAATAGTAGGAACAGTTGGAACTGTACCTTTTAAGTGCGACTCAGGCATGTGTGTGATGATGCTATAATTATAGGTATTGCCATCTATCTAAAGTATCTTCATGTTTAAACACCTCATTTGTAGTTATAGAGGGTTACAGTTAAGTATCGCATTAAGGAAGTCAAATGCTTTCTTACAATTGATATATGATATGCAGTTTGTTCTGTCATGCAACAAAAAAATCTATGAAGGCATTAAGTGAGTTTTAGAATTCTGATTGATTCTGACATTTAAAAATAATCTACTTCAATACAGTTCTGTTATATGCTTGTTTTCAAAATATATGGTGATGAATTGTATGACCAGAGCTTTATCACAAGATTTTTGCTTACCACTTAGTGTGTGAGTGCATATATTTGAACACAAACAAACATTATAAAGTCAATAAGTAAATATACATCTTTATACATTATATCTAATATAAATAAATATAATCTGGAGTTGAAATATCCAGTTTAGAGATAAATCTAATATTAGAAAAATGATGAGATCTGCTAAAGGCCACACGGTTAGCTAATATCATGGATGAATAGGTGGAAAACAAGAACATTCAGAGGCTACTGAAACTAATGAGGCAAGAAGTAATGAAGGACAGAAAAAGTAGCAATAGGAGTAGTAGAGGACGGGAGACATGACTGGCATATTAAGGGGAATAGAATTACCAGGATTTGATAATAAATCGAATATAGGGCTGCAGAGAAGTAGGAAGCTAGCATGAAAACAATTTCAAGACATTGACATGGTTCATTGAATGGGTGATGCTTCTTTTCATCAGAAGAGAGAACACAGGTGGGGGAACAGATTTTAGAGTGGGTGAGCCTAATACATCCAATTTTGGATATGACAAGATAAATGGTCTATTGGAAATCTATGGGGAACTATGCCTTATGTGTAGTATATATATTCCTAATACTCACAAAATAGATCTAAGCTAGGGAAAGAGATTGAGTCACAATTGAATATAGTTAAAGCAATGTTTGTGTTTAATGCCAATTTCAAGACTTTTAATATTTGTAATTTGAAAATAACCAAAGAAAAACAAATAATGCATTTTTCAAATTCATCTAACAGTTTGGATTTGATGTAGCTCTCTACAATCCCTGTAAAATTTCTGAGCATTTTCTCCTTGATTTCTTCAACAATGAAAAATGCAACATTTTGATGGCTAAAGAAAAAGTAGCTTGATTCCCTACCTGTCTATCTTTCTATAATAACTTGTCCTTAAGATAATGCTTCTGCTTTCTTTTTGAAAGCAGACCTCTTATTAACATTTTAACAAAGATAAGTACATGGGAGAATAGCAGATGTGTAAGTCAAATCCAAAACACTAGTCTCAGTAGTAGGTTAAAAGTTCAGTATCCATGTGTAACAGTCTCTTACATCTGGTCCATGAAATAAAAGTTTATCATGTTTCCTTCTATTCTACCTTCTAAGCAGAGAACTAATAATACTCTTGCTCTAATTGTCTGGAGAAGATAAGCACTGTTTGAAAAGTTGCATCTACCATGTGTTCATGATCACCATTTTCAGATACGCCTTTACTGCCACTAAATCTCAATAGTTTCCTGCAACTTGTTTAATCTGCTACTCTGTTGAAAGTTCTTAGAAGCTTCTTTGACATCAGCTAGATGACCTCAATATACACCATTGAACAAAACTTGATAAATTATCAAATTTATCTTCTTACTAATCAAATTCAAAATCAGACTACCTCTGTTCTTTCCCATTTTAGCCTATTTTAATAGTGTTGTTATACTGTCCCCCCTCCTGCTAAAAAACAGTCCATCCTTAACTACTGATTTTCCTTCTCCCAAGTTTTTAAAAACACCACCCCTATGTTACTAAACATAAATAATTTTTGGTCATTAAATTAATTGAATTTAATGTAGCAGT